AAGAGTGTTTGACTTGCACTTGGAGAACAGCTCTTTGAATTACTAAGATGTGAAATCTTAACAAGAGCGCTTAACGCTGAAAACTAAAAACACACTCAAAATTTGTTGAGAGGAACAAGCTTTTACTTTTTCCTGCAAAAAGAACTTTGGAGGATGTTGGTCTTTGTAGTACTTGTTCATTATCTTCTGGGTTTCCCATAGGTCAGCGGCATGTTTACGCATTACAAAAACAACTGTGGAGGTTCTGTGTTAGAAGTTGTCATATAAATTGCATAAACAATTTAGGATGACGTGCTAAACGCAAGTATTTCTAAATCACTTATTGATTGGCAAAATCCCTCAAGCTGAGTATTTTGAGAAATACCAAATATATTTTAATGTAAAATAATAAAATGAAAATATGGAAAGAACTTAAAATCCCAGAGCTGTGACTTCTATTCGGTAGCGTGCAGAGTGAATGAAACACTGTCCTGTGGTCCAGAATCTGTATGTTCTTGTGAAAGAAAGAAACCTTCAACCTAATGGGTTTTGCCGGCATCCACAACTTGTTGCATGCAACAGATCAGTCATCTGCAACTGCCACAAGTTCTTGTCTCTGCACTAGATTTTGTCTTGTAAATTCTGAGACCTTGTGGATAAAGACTCTGTCTTTCTACTCACGTGGTAAATCCCCGTGTGTGTGCTCGCAGTGCTGTGGTCACATAGGTAAGCTCGTAGGGAGGAAGTAATTCAGTTGTAGTAAGAGTGGGCTGTGATTTGGAGTGGCAAACGGGTTACAGGCAACAGGCTTGTAGTTGGGTTTAAATGCCTCAGTCCTTGTCTGGGCAGAATCCCCTTCTGGTTGTCAGGATTGTGTGTCCTGTGTGGATGCAGCGGTGGTGGTAGGAGCAGATCAGAGAACAATAGCTGTAGGGTGGGTTTAACGCAGTATGAGGAAATAAGGCTAAAGTTGATTTGACTGGTAAATGGTAACAGTTACGATGGTTCAGTAGTGTCACTACTATTGTTCCTCGCTTATTACTGTTTCATTGCCATACAGCTGTTGCCAAAGTACTTGTTTTCACTTGCAGATAAATAATCAAGCTAAATATTTTGGGGTAGACAGAGTAGGGTTCAGTGTTCAACTGTAATGGATTCCATAATATACAGTTATTGAAGAATTTTCAATTTTTCCTGTGATTTAGCAAAATGAAACTCAACACTTCTAGAATTCCTGTGTTGAAGGCATGATGAAGTTGAAGAGAGGAAAAAAATATACTAGTTACTTAATCACAGATGCATTTACAAATGTTAGTGTTGTTGCAATTTTCAGTGGAATAGACTTAACGATTCAACAAATAACTTGTTTGGAAAATGTCAAGTTTCATAGCCTGCTTGAGTATTTTTATTCACTTATATCTGAGCATAGCAGATGATGGCCAGGGGGAGGGGAGCATCAACAGGATGGATTAAAATAAACGCATGTTTGGGTGGCAGTTGTTATTTAAATATATATGCTTTATACGTGATTCACAAGTTCATATCTTATTTGAAGTAGATGCCCCAGCACAGATTTATAGCCAAGCAATTCTGTGTGTTTTCACCTGTGAGTGCACTGACCCTTGTAAATCTGGCCTAATCCACAGAACAGTTGGACTAGTGCCCTCTACTGGTCGAGGTTTCTTAAAGCTTTATTTGTGATACCTTAATTTAAACTTTTTAGTTATTTTTTTTTCTAGAGCTTCAGCATGTTTCAGTGCTGTATATATGTCATCTTTTAAATGTTCTAGAGAAAGAACAGTTTTCCTGCTTGCCTGTCAGAGGCTTTTCAATTGGATTAGCAAAATCCTTTTGCTGATTTAACAATACTGATATTTAAGTCTGTGTTCTTACATGACCTGTGCACCTGTGAAACTTCCACCAATATTTAGCAATAGCACAGTCTTAGTAGCTGTGTTTATTACACCAGTGATTTAATGTTAAAAAAAAAGATTCTTACAAAGCAATAGTTACTTGCTTAGATGGCATTTATTAAGCAATGAGAGTTTGGGTTATTTTGGTTGTGGTTTTGTTTTTTTAGATCTGTAGGTAGCATATAGATGAGATTTCCTGTCACGTTTTCTTATCAGTGCTTGTGAATAGATGGAATTATTACTCCCTTAGCATAATTCATGGTGATTTTTATGAATTATGAAAGGCAAATAAAAGATGGTTATGTGATCAATTAAAACTTTTTAGGTAGATATGTTGAATCGGTGTACTGGGGAAAAAATGCAAGTTCATATTTGGAGTCAGGTAGCACTTGGAAATTAACTTCTAGTTTGCATTTTGTTTTTCACTTGATAGCCCTATACTGGATGTTTCTTCATGTGCCATAAAGCTACTGGATTTTTCTAAGTTATGAAATGTATAGTTTAGAAGGTTGGGGTTTTGTTTTTTGGCCATTTGGGTTCTGCAGTTGCCTTTTGAAGCAGAAGTGCCACAAGTAGTATAGTGGCATAATTTCTTGTTATATCCTACATTCTATTTTGCAAGACTTTATAATTATTACAGTATAGTAACACTTAAATAAATTTTATCCTGGTGAATCCCAGTGTAAATATACCTGTGATGGGAGTAGGGGTCCCAGTAGCCTGAATGTCTAATGTAGTGCCCGAGTTTTCTTCTCTACAAATGTGATTTTTAGATTTGATGTTTTACAAGGGAAATAAAAATAAGGGGGACGAGGGGAGAAGGCAAAGCTTTGTTATTTCAGTAGCTCGGAAGGAAATCATACACTTGATTTTTATTTTTTTTTCTCTCCCACATCTTTCTTTTCCTTCTGCCTCAAATCCACTTTCTAGTTAGTGACTAAGTTTTCTCTCCAGAAGTGGTTGCAACAATTGTCCTCTCAAAGCGTACCTTCTTTTTTGTACCTGTGCTGTGCTGGTGCGTTTTTGCTGCTACCGCTAACGTTGTAGGCATGCTAAAGCCAGCAGTTCTTGAAAGTGATTTTTCTGTTCTCTTAAAAATGATTTTTCTTTGATAAAAATTACTTAAAGCTTTTGTTTAGACCTTGGTTGAGGGAAATTTCTTTTCCTTTGAAGTGCTAAGATGTAAAGGAATAATACAGGCTTTTCAGGAAATGTTTTTCATATTTTTAGACTAGCAGTCAAATTGCAAGAAGAGAAAATAAAAGGTTTGTGAATATGCCGAGTATAATAATAGAAGTTCTACTAGTGCTTTGAACTGTGATAAAGGTATCGTAGGACATGGGGTATCTGCTGTGGAATTTAAGTGAATTGGAATAAAGATGCATCCTTTGGGGGGTGTGGAGTTTGTGGATTTTGTTTTTTGTTTCCCTTTAAGCAATGAGCTGGAATATTAACCTTATCTGAAAACACGTTGGAGCTTCTGTATTTTTCTCAGCTGTATCAATATTTAAACATGGCTTATATGTTTCTGAAGTTACCTACTTCTTACTTGAACATTGAATTTGAACTTCTGTGAAATAAATATTTTCAAAATCATGCTGGAGGTGAGCATTTATTTTCAAGGTAAACAGTCAATATTGTTTTAAACAATACTGTTAAATGTCATCAAGGCTCAAAACAAATGTGAGACTATAGTTTGCTTAGTTTAAGATACTAATTCTACACAATTATTCCCTGCTTGTGTTTTGGTGTGAGCAAGAGGAAAGAGGGCCTTGTGTAAAAATAAAAATAGATAGAAAGTGTACAGGAGTAGGTGTACTGGGCCTTAAAATGGGTACGAAGGAAGATCATTCAGAATTCATCTTGAAGGTGGCTAGAATAGCAACTTTAATTCTTTAATTCTCTTCCCAGTAGTTTAGGTTCGCTTCTGTATAGTGTTAAAAAGAACAATAGCAATATCGTGTTAATCTTCAGTTAAAGGATCCAGAAGGTAACACCAAGGTTTTGTGTTGATACCTTTTATTACTTACAAGTCCTGTTTACTAAGAATAATTCATGACACTGCTCAATGACCTGTTTTTAAAGCTTATTGACATGGCTGTATTTCAAATCTATAGATGTTTATAGATGTTATTGGGAAAGTAATGTATATATTCTTATCACTGAAGCTATGTGCTCATAGAAGCCTGGCACCAAAAAGAGCTGTAAATAGACATTAATATCTAGTTGCTTGAAACTTGGTACACATTTTAGCTGCTTGAATCAGTGACCTGAAAAGTTTGACCTGATAGCATCGAAATAATTTGTTGCAACATCTCTTGTGAACCTACCCATCAGGGCTTTTATACGGCTGTGTTGGTCTGTCTTGGCTAAAAATATATCTGGTAACTTAATAACAAAACATTATATGCACCCACATAGGCATACAAACCAGATTTCCTGGCCCAAACATTGGAGTCCTTTTATACTTCATTTCTTTTTCAGTGGCATAGACTTTTGGAGTTGTCTTACTTCTGTACTAAAGCAGAAGGTTTAGTATTTTGTACATTGTTGTGGCACAATACTTTTGTAAACATCTATGGGATGAAGACTGAATTTACTCTAAAAAGAATATAATTTGGTAAGCTGAGTAAGGTTAAACACAGTCAAGACTTTTAAAATCAGGATTCCAAGTTTCTTCAATTCTTCTGTTAACAAAGCGGAGATGCTTTAGATCTGGATCCAACTTGTAATTTTTATCCTTTTGTGCAAAGTAAGAAATAAGAACAACACTCCTTTTTCTGTGTGTGTGCTGCTATGAAGATTCAGAATGCAGCTAAGAATGTGTCCTTCCAGCGTTCTTTCCCTTTCTGGATTACTCATATACATGTAAATACAGGACACCTATTCTCCCACTGTCATTTGCCCATCTCTGAGGTTGGGTTTTAACTCTTGAATGTTTTCAGTGTTACTTGATTACTAGTAACCAACTTTATCTCCTGAGTTATAGGTGTTCAAAATTTTATTGTTTCTGCTTAACCAAGGCTTATGTTTTATTTTTCTTTTCTTAGGATTCCTACAGGAAGCAAGTAGTAATTGATGGAGAAACCTGTCTCTTGGATATTCTTGACACAGCAGGTCAAGAAGAATACAGTGCAATGAGGGACCAATATATGAGAACAGGGGAAGGCTTCCTGTGTGTATTTGCTATAAACAATACAAAGTCTTTTGAAGATATTCACCATTATAGGTGTGTATATTGAAAGATAATTGGTTAACTCTTGTATAAGGTGGATATGTTGCTTGCTCTTCCACTATCAGTAGAATGATCTCTTATGAAATAGCATCTAAGAGAAAAATTGCAGATTGACAATATTGCGACTTACTTCTGCATTTGTAGGTGTGGAATTTTGGGTAATCTGAAAATCTGCTGCCCTGTTCATGATTTAGGGAGACAAAATACTTGAAAGCTCTTCTGATATAAACTAATGTGACTTAGCATTTCTGCCTATTCATGGTGAAGTTTTGTCTTCAAGGTAAACTCTGCTCATTCTGTAGATAAAATTGTGCATTACGATGGAAAAACTTGTGCAAATAAAAGTGTACAGACAGTAATGTTAGCTTTTGTTCTGAGGGTGGAGAGGAAATACCTGTGGAATTCTTGCTAGAAGAGTAATGTGTGAGACCCGATGCGTGAGGAAGCCAGACACACAAAATCAGAGCTCAAGGATGATTACTAAAACCCACCCTCTTATTAGTTGCTTCATATTCTCTTTTTTTTTTTTAATAATTAGTTAGAAATTTCAACTCATGCTTTCTTTGTCAGCTACACTAGTGTAGAAATAAAAGCAGTGTCTGGTGACTACGGTACCAGATCATTTATGACTTGGCAGCTTGCTACTATACTGAATTCTCTTTGGATGTTCTGTTAGCAGGCAATGCAAATCCCACCAAAGATCACCGAGTTTAGCATCATCAGTTTAAGATTACTCCCAGACACGTAACATTAAGCTTTTCATAGTTAAGCATTTGTAATGCTGTCAGATCTATGTTGCTGTATGGTCTAGGAATGTTTTGCTATTGGTATTACCCACAAATGCAACATCTACTCATAAGCTGAGGCTTCACATTTTTGTTACAAATACAAGTTCCTCATTTAAGGTGGGATGCTGTGGCAGTTGAAGGTAATTGAAGACAGCAGATGCAGCTGTCCTGATGGCAGAGTTTCATTTTCTCCTGTATACCAGCAAGTGTAGTGTGCTGAGGTGTGAGTAGCTAAACAGGTACAGGCACCTGCTGACAGAAATGGTCTGCTGCTGGCTTATCTCCCTGGAGCAGCTGCGGGGTCAGGGGAGCACTGTTGCAAATGAGGGAGGTAAAACTGCTGCATACTAACCTGGGGAGAGATCGGTATTGAGAACGCAGATGCTTTCTTTCAGGACTGTTGTTGATTTATATTTAAATTGAGCTAGCCCGCCTGTTTTTAAATTTCATTATATGTAGCATGCTCTGGTCGAATATATTGGTACTGGTGACTTAAAAAAAACAAACCCAAACCAACCAACCAAAAAATCCCCACAACAAAACAGTTAAGAACGCAGAAGGAACGACAAATTAAAAAAAACCCCAACATATCTTGCTCTCAGAAAAACTGTAAACTTCTCTTAATTATCTAATCAGATTATTACAGATGGGTTTCCTCTCGTTGTAGAGGAAGAAGGGAGAAAGCCAAGATGGATGTTGACGTACAGGGAAGAAGGAGTATAGGGGTGGTTATGTGGAATTCTTCTTTTTAAAGAGGGAGATGCAGATTTGTGTAAGACCTTCCCAGTTTATTGCCAAGAATGAGTTGAATGTTAGGGTTTCTCCTGTGCATCCACACACCTGTGGATGACATTGCAGACCAAAGCTGAAAGCTTACAATTAAATAACTGAAAACAGTGACTATACTAATTAAGGAACATACCGCTAGATTATTTGGGAAGGCCAAAGTAATGAAATTAATGATTGTTATTTGAGATTCTTCACAAGTATGTCTAAGCAGTATTTAAAGATGCTTCCTAAGTAGTGTTTAAAAGGACTCTTATCAAATTTCTCTTTGTCGAGAACCAGACCAGTGGTCTTCCAAGTTCAAAAACCTCCCATCTAAATGTATAGTGCTGTCTACAATTAAAAAAAAACCAACCCAACAAAAATAAAAAAGCTCCCACTCCCCAAGCCAAACAGAAACCAAGAGAGCAGATGTAATGCTTTTGAAGTGTTATTTCTTAGCAAATTTAGTATGAGTCCTGAATATGAGAGATAAGTAAAGTTTTTCACCAGCGCTTCATAGGCTTGCTTAAGCATTAGCTGTTTAAAAACTTAAAAAACAAAATAAAAATATAAACAAGCAAAACAAACTATAGTAGTTTGCAGAATATCAGCCTTATTTTTTTGAAAAATAAGATTATAAACTGGTCAGTTTATTTTTTAGTGGCTTCTAATAGTGTATGTGCAGTAAATTAATGATGTTGAAATATGTTAATGTTTTAGGGTTTTTTTTAAAAAAAATCTGTCATATAAATGTTTAATACCTGTTAAATACAATCTGTCTCTTTTTAGGGAACAGATAAAGAGAGTTAAAGACTCTGAAGATGTCCCAATGGTGCTAGTAGGAAACAAATGTGATTTGCCTTCCAGAACAGTAGATACAAAACAAGCTCAGGATTTAGCAAGAAGTTATGGAATTCCTTTCATTGAAACATCAGCAAAGACAAGACAGGTAAAACTCAAAACTTACCAATGCAGAACTCTCATTTGGATTATTATGCTGATTTTTCTAGGTATTGACAATTGCTTGATCATATCAATACATTTCCCCAGAGTGGAAATTCTTGTGATGTCTCTTCTTTCTGTCAACTCACTCACAACTGGTACTTGTTTAATAATGAGTGATTCGCTTCGGTTGCGCAAACTCAAAGAATGAGACCTGGCCTGCTGTTACTGTCCTCTCTCAGGTGGTTGTAGCATTTGTAATGTTGTGATAGGTTTTAATAGAATAAAAAACACTTCTACCTAGAGGTGAAATGCCTTTTTTTTTTTTCCCTCAGCAAGAAGATTAAGCAGACAAGCAGCTAATTAGTTTATTCTGGTTTAAGTATTTTTATTAATAAAAAAAGGAATTTTTATTTGAGACAATGATTCAGTCTTAGTGGGACATACTTTATATACCTTTTTATAGCTAAGCAATTCACTGTATTTTTTTGAATTTACTGGCTTAATTGCTTGTGTAAACTGATACTCTTCTAAGAATTTAGAGCTTGCTGTTGGTTTATTGTGCCCCACTGGTGTAGGTGGAGAGGCAGCCATCGGGGTCCTTTCAGTGCTTCTTTCAGGGTTTGCTATGACAAGGGCACCCGTAGTGGTACATCTGTGTATTGAGAAGATAAGCTCTACACATACAGATTAAACTGGTTCTGTACTTCTGGAAGAAAGCATTCTTTTTGAAGAATGCTGATTTGTGGTTTTGAGAGAAGACTTTCTGTCAGTACAAATGAGATCAGGCCTGAGTGGCCACATAACTCATGCTCTCTGCATAATCAGAAGTGTTATGTTCAAGTTATGAATTGGGAATTAGGTTTAGGAGAAGGATGCAAATAAGAGCAGAATACTGCAATTTGAGTAACTGCTCAGTGTAACTGCTAAACAGATTCAACTGCATCACCTGGCAAAATTGCCTTATAGACAGTACATAAGTTATTTTTGGACATAAAAAAATAATATTTTATTAGTGCAAATTTGCTACACCCACCCAAGTTTCTGACAAGTTGAAACCTGGACTAATTAGTAAGCACATCTTTGATTTCTCTGTAGAGTTTAAGTCTTAGCATTAGAGAAAGTCTCTGTTAGGTAGGATTGAAAGAACAAAACTATGCAACTTTAATGGTGAGAATAAATTAGGCCACAAGTGTTGTGAAGAATGTGGAATGTAAGTGGACTGAGTAATTACGGTGTTCTTGTTTGGAAGGTCCTGTATTGGTGGCTGTCATTGAGATGTTAAGATAAAAAAGAACTCTGAAATTACCTTTGAGGTTTGAGATAATAGAGGTTTTGTACTAACATCTGGATTTTAATTTGTTCAGTCTGTTTTATAGAGCATCAGTCTTTATTGAGGAAATATTCCTTTTGCATAGCCACTTTTATTAAAAGTATTTTGATACAATGGTGTATTTATAAAGACTTCTTTCTTGCACTCTACCTGCAATTTACTGCTATGAGCAGCCCCACCATGCCTAGCCAATGAAAGATGGCATGCTCAAAAATCACCACACCTGTTCAGTTTTATAATCTTTGTTTACACAAAGTAGTATCTGCTTTTTTATCTCGGACTTTTAAGAGGTCTGCTGGAAGTTTGTACTTATTTCAGAGAACAATAGATCAGTCTTACATGAACTGTCAATCTATAATTTGACTGCTTTTATCTGTGACTTTATATTCTGGAGGTACCAGCCAAAGTGTTATGGAAAGGATCTCACTATTGGCTTCTGTTTCTCAAAGGTGAGTTTTACACCCTCTCCAGACTTGGAGTCCCTAAAGGTATCTTGTGGATTTTAAAATAAAGATGCCTAAAAGACTCTTGAGAATGGTGGCTTCCAAAAGTTGGAACTGATTCTTTTGCAGTGCTGTTCGTAACATGTGGTGTTATGAAACTGCTTCATAAGATGCTGCTTTAAGAAAATATTTTTGAGAAGACTAAAATAAATTTTTAATTATAGCAAGAGCTTCTCAGTAGTCATATGTGTGTATGTATATATCTGTGTATACATATGTATTTACATATCACGATTTTTCAGTCACACTGTTGTATTTCAAATATATGCATATATATATATATACACACACACACCTTCTTTCAAAGTAACTTTTTTTAATTAGGGGATTCAAACCATTTAGCAAGCTGCATGTGGTGCATGGACTATATTTTTATTGGTCAGAGTTCAGTCATCGGCTAAAAATAAATACATAAAAAAATCCTATCTGGTTACATGCAGAACTTCTAAGTATGAGCAGATATAGCTAGTGGCCTGATAACTTCTAGAGTCTGAAGAAAGTCTGCCATGAATATTTAAAAGTAGGAACCTTTCCCTTTCCTGTACATAGCTCCCATCACAGTGAAATGTCATTATTAGTGCCCTTGGAAGGCATGATGAAGGCATCTTTCTTCAGCCCTTCCCCATGCCCCACTTCTGCTGGGGCTCGGAGGCCATCAGAAGTTTTCTGGGGAAGGAGATAGGAGAGATGGAAATGGAAAGGAGTTATCCACATAGCCTGTTTTGATTGCTGAGACGCTTTAAAATGATGGCATTTTATGCTCATGCACAATGAGCAAAACTCCAACTAAATGAGTTTTTAAGGCTTGCAGAAATTCATAGACAAGATCAAAAGTAGGAGCAAAGCGCTGAAATGAAGTGCAGAAATAAGTTAGTGTATTTGGTTTTATTTGATTCTGACTGGCAATAAAGAGGTAAACTTCAACTTACTGCAAAGAGTTGTATTTTAAGCCAAATCCCTGTGCAAGTTTTCATACAAATCACTGAGTTCATCAGTGAAACATTCACTTAGTGGTCCTTACAGCTTGGGTATAAAGTTGTAGATTTAGGTGTTTTTTTATTAAACTACTGACTGAAATGAATGTAATGTAATTTATGAAAAATAGAATCATAGAATGGTTTGAGTTGGAGGAACCAGATCTTAAAGATCATCTAGTTCCAACCTCTCTGCTATGGGCAGGGACACCTCCCACTAGACCAGGTTGCTCAAAGCCTTACCCAGCCTGGCCCTGAATGTCTCAAGGGATGGGGCCTCCACCACCTCTGTGGGCAACCTGTGCCAGTGTCTCACCACCCTCCTAGTGAAGAGCTTCTTCCCGATATCTAGTCTAAATCTACCCTGCTCCAGTTTAAAACCATCACCCCTTGTCCTGTTGCTACAGACCCTTGTAACAGTCCCTCCCCAGCTTTCCTATAGCCACCTTCAAGTGCTGGAAGTCTGCTATAAGGTCTTCCTGGAGCCTTCTCCAGGCTGAACAGCCCCAATTCTCTCAGCCTGTCCTCATAGGGGAGGTGCTCCAGCCCTCTGATCATCTTTGTGGCCGTCCTCTGGACCTACTCCAGCCCGTCCATGTCTTATTAAATAATGATAGTCCTAGTTCTAAATGTAAACACCTATCAGTACTTGTGGTTGTATAAGGCATGTTGCATCACTTTCATCCTTTCACAATCCTTATGCAGAAGAGTATGAATTTCTTAGGTTTATTTTGAAAGCTGATTTTGCTTTTCTCTGTCATAAGCTTTAAATTCAAGTTCTTCCCTCTCCACATGAGTGTACAGCTCCCAATATTATCAGTAGTATCAGATGAGAGATGAGAGGCAGATTTATCCCCATCAAAGCTGCATCCTGTATTCTTTACAGGGCTTCCATTTGCCTGTCAGTTACACAAGGAAAAGCTGTAAGGCTGTACCCCAAGTGTGGTTTGACTGTGGGATTTTCTTTTCCTTGGAACATTTCAACTGTCCTGATAGTATTGAATTCACAGGAAAAATGTATGAAAGGGCATTATTGTAAGCATAGTGGATAAAGTATTTCCCAAAGTGTCAGGTCTTGGTTTAAGAATATATACTTAAACACACTTTTAAAGTATGTAATGAAGAAGTTCACCTAAATCACAGGGATGTTAAGAATATTACATTATAGTTATTTCAGCTCTCTGATGTACAATAGGTTAGGCCCCAAACTTGTGCTGAAATTACGTTGAAAACCTGTGATTAGTCTGATGCAGTAATGCAGAGCTTCATTCCTATGTCTCAGTTGACATTCATGAGTAAGTGAGAATTTAGACAGTTTGCTTGAACCAAGTTGCTGTATCTTTTAGGGATATGCTGTATCTGTTTAATGGTATTGTATGTTTTTCAGTCCGTGCTGTATTTAATGTGGTTCACGTGTACAGGTTCCATTTTAAAACTTTCTTGTTGGACTTTACAATGTGGGTGGATTTTGTTTTTCATGTCACTTGTTTGTTCTAAGGTAAAACTTCTCCAAAAGAGCTTAGTTCCCAAGAAAAAGGCCCTTATAAAAAATAAGAAGGTTTGATAACATTGAAACAAATTCTGGCATCCTTTTTTTTTTTTTTTTTGGCTGGATGACTACAGGAAGAAACAAGCTTATTATTTACCTATTAGAAAGATAAATAGGTGCAACAAAAAAAGGATACATCTGCACAGGGGGTGAGGTCAGGTAGGACAGACAGCTGTAATTCCTGGCGCTTCTTAACTGCAAAGTGAGTAACTTCCTAACTTTAGTCTATGATTTTGTGCACTATTTAATAGGAATTTACTGATACATATATATATATATATATGGTATTTAATCATGACAAGATAATAAGATGATCCCTCCTTCACCAAAGTAGTGGTCATTCTTCATGTTAGTGGTTTCCAAACAGTTCTTTGAAGTATTATGTCTCTAAAAGAGACAGCAAAAATTTAGACTTAACCTATAGACTAAAAGTTATATAAACTAGTAGATTTTTGCAGGCTTATATTCTTAAGTATTGGCCAAGCTAACTTCACCACTACCAAATTTTATTTTGGGAGGAGTGCTTTTATGCAAGTGAATAGTGTAGTTTTTGCTTGTGTCCTCATGAATAATTTTGCTTCTATTTGTTTGACAGTGGTTTTAGGAGCCCAGCTGTAATAAATTGTGTAATGGTGGTCACAGAATGCT